AGAAAGAAGAAAACCTTGTAAAATTTTATTTAAAAAAAAGAACAGAGAATTTGATCAAAATAAAGGTAAAATCATTTTTCCAATTAAAATTCTATTAAGTAGTAGTCATAGATTTTTTTTTACTCTTCAGCTAAATTCCAATGCTTCTTTTCAAAGTTATCCGAAGTCTTAGTTTCTCATGGATAAAGTTTTGAAGAATTTGCGGAAGCATTTTGGATGCATCCGTTCACTGATAGAGCAAAATAGTTAGAACCAGTGATAACTTTTTTTCTTAATGACAGGCATGCCATTGATTTGTTTACTTGTGAAAAACTACTAAATCAAGCTAGACCGAATTTTTGATTTTATGTATGATAATCCAAATGTTAGTCTGAAAATTGTTGATTATTCGCTGCTTACTAGAATAAGTGTAGTTTGTTGGGCTTTTTCATCGTTAATGTCTCTGTACTATCTATTTTGTTTTTCTTCAGACCTAAAACTCCACAAAAATAGATAATAAAAGTTGTTAATTGAGAAGACGAAATTTTTTTTCAACTTAGACGGTTGATTAGTGTTAACTAACCTTTGTCCAGCCATCCAATTTTTTTTCACTTTTTCATGATAAAAATGTTTTTCAAGAAAAAATGTACTCGCAACTAAAACTTAAAAAAATTTCAAAAAAATTCTGACACTCACTATCTGAAACTTAAAAACCAAAAAAAAAATTTTTTATTTCATTTTTCAAAACAAAATTTTTTTTCAACATAAAAATGTATTTACAAGTAAAATTGAAAAAAAAATCAAGAAAATTTCCGAAAGGTACCATCTGAAACTTACAATGCTACATATATCATCAAAGGTCTCAAGAAAGAAGAAATTCTTGTAAAATTTTATTAAAAAAAAGAACTGAGAACTTGTTCAAAATAAAGGTAAAATCATTTTTCCAATTAAAATTCTATCAAGTAGTAGTCATAGATTATTTTTACTCTTCAGCTAGTTTCCAATGCTTCTTTTAAAAGTTATCCGAAGTCTTAGCTTCTCATGGATAAAGTTTTGAAGAATTTGCGGAAGCATTTAGGAAGCATAAAAATGTATTTACAAGTAAAATTGAAAAAAAAAATCAAAAAAATTTCTGAAAGGTACCATCTGAAACTTATAATACTGAAGTTTTGTATGATGACCCTTACATATATCAAATCGCGGGAGTTAGCTAATAAACACATGTATCGGTAAACTCGAACTCCAAAAAAATTCGGTGCCAAAATTTTTTGACACTTACCATCTTACTATCTCGAACCCGCAAATCAACTCTCTATCCTAAAACATTGGGGACCGCCGAACACATACTACTGAGCAGGCTTACAACAGCTTATTCCAATAGCTCAGAAACTTCATAGCTTTTTTTAATAGCCTAATTTGGGCCAAAGTTTTTTTTGAGTAATTCAGCTAACTTTTGAAACCAAAAATTTTGAAAATTTGAAATATTTCAAAAATAATATAAAAAAATGTTGAAAACATCTTTGAGTTTTTTTTCTAGTCATTTTCCATAGAAATTGTTTTCCAAATTGATTAGTTTAGTAAGAGTTTCGATTATTCCTAAGGCTTACTTTTTGTTCAAATTCTTTTATCACAACACGCAGAAAAAACTACACTAATTTGAAAAAAAAACTTTTTTGCTTTATAAATTTCAGACCATTGTGGGAACATTCCGTGCTTCTTGGGCCCGTAACCGGCTATCCTTGTTTTGCTTTCCTTTGTTTTTCACGCAAAATCAAGTAACAAAAATCATAATCGGAATGAGTCAAGAGATATGTTACATTGAAGCCCTTCTATTTGTGTTCGAAATACATTTTTAGACTTTCAAAAAACTCTCGCAACATTTACAAAAACTGGCCTGAACTTTTTGAGTTTCAATTCAATTTCGAGCGAGTAAAGCAAGCGAGCAGGCTAATTAAAATGGAATACACATTTGTTTCATTCCAGTTATATCAAGCTTAGAAGTTTTTTTAACGCCGTTTTAGGAACAAAAACTTCAAAATTTCATATAACTTCTATAAACACATAATTGTTTTAAAAACTTTTAAATGATTTTTGATAATAAATTTTTTCCAGTCATTTTTGACAGGAACGGTTGTCCAGGTTGCCTTCGTTACTAAGACTACCAAATTTTCCACGACTGTCAAATAAATATTTGTCTAAGTTCTAGGCTTTCGATTGATTTTTTTTAAACACACAACATACAAAAAACGAAATGACTGTCAACAAGATGACTAATTGTACATCACTTTGTAGAGAATATTAAAAAATTGGTTTTGGTTTCCAACAAAATTGAACTAAATGCCTCAAAAATTTGACAATTTGGTCTGACAGGGCGAGGATAAGGTGAGCCAGTTAGACCCCTGAAAATCAATTACCGCTCCCATATATCAAACATTATGAAACCATGTATTATTCAGTTTTAAATTAGGCTGGACACCTGAATGCTCATTTTTTTAAGAAACAACTTTTGAAAAAATACTATGAAAACATATGGTTTGTTTTTTAAACAACCTAGTGAGTCACGTATGACTCATGTTTTCAAACAATCGGGGCATCTCACTGTTTCTCTGCAGCACACACACACACACACATATATATATATATATATATATATATATATATATATATATATATATATATATATATAGACATATGAAACTGTCAGCAAGATGACTAATTGTAAATGACTTTATAGAGAATATTAAAAACTTAGTTTTGGTCTCCAACAGCATTTGTCTTCCAGCTCTTAAAGCAAATTAAAAGAAAATTAAAACGCAATGTCTAAAAATTGGAGACATTTTGTTCTAAATTAATCATAATCACATGAACCGATTTGAATTGGCGTTTGAATACAAATAGATTTTTGCTAATTTCAAATTTGATCTCATGAGATTAATCCGCGGCGGTTGCGGTTTTGTCGCGCCGGTTGCGGTTCACATTTTTTTGGTTGCGCCGGTCGCGGTTAATTTTCCTTCGGTCGCGCCGGTCGCGGACACATTGCCTTGGTCCGCAAACTCTGAACTGCACTCGGAAAATACCAAAGTTTGGTCGCGACCATCTGATCATAAAAGCACAATCTCGACCCGGGCAGTGATCTTCGTGAGTGCACCAGTATATCACTTTGTATCACAATGCTGGCAGATGAGTTCTTAAAAAACGTTTAGTTTTTCAGAAATAAATGTTTGTTAATATTTTTGTTAAAATCGGTTTGTTAATAATTTTTCATTATGGGAAATTATTTCCAAAGTAATTGGAAACTTTCAAGTTTTTCTCAGAACTTTTACTGATTTAGAAAGAAAAGGTATCAATTGAAAAACGGCCTGCTCACCTGGGCGCCTCTATACTCCCTTAGAGCGTCTTTTTAGTTAACTACTCTGTCTACAGCCTTCGAAAAAGTCTGTGGAGGAATACTTCACCCATATTTTTGACTTTTTTCCGTTTTTAAAGGTTGTTAGGTTGTTTTTAAACAACCTAATAAGGGGGCATGTAAGGTTGTTTTTAAACAACCTAATAAGGGGGCATTTCTTAAAATGCCCCCTTATTAAATCTGAGTTTTTTGACACCGAAAACTATGGCCCTCGCAAAAGCAAAAGTTTTGAGTTTTTTACCGTTTTTCAAAGTAATTGATTTTTCTCGAGACCTAAGACTTTGGGTGCAATCGAAATTACAGTTTACGTGAACTGCTTTTGCATAAGCGACTACTACTAACCTTTTCACACAAAAAATCTATAATTCTCTGAAATGTGACTTTTTGATTTAGTGACCGTTTTGGACTTTTCTGGCTAACTATTGTGCCGAATCTGATATCATAGGTTTAATTTAAAAACAATTTTTCGAATAATTTTATAATTGAGTATGCCCAGCTTGTTCAAAAAAAAAGTTCTTCAAACAAGTGATTGTTTTAAAACAATTACAGTTTTTTGGAAACATTTTGATTTTACGCGAAAAAAACCGTGTCAATTTTCAGGTTGTGTTCAATCGAGAAACTTGTTTTGGAATTGTTAAATGCTTAAGCTGCCACAACTTGCTTTCTCCAGAAAAAATATGGAAATTAGAAAATGTTTTTACCGTTTTTTAGAACTTTGGAACGCTTTTTTTTAGAAACTTTTTAATTTTATGAAATTTTAAGCAATCAAATATGAGATGAAAAGTTCAATTGAAAGGACCGGTTGCTATAATTGCTCCTGCAGATGCGGCGATTCCATAATTTTTTGTTTAAAAAATGTTATGTTTCTGGAAAAATTAATAATTTCAATTTTTTTTATTCCTACTTATTTTTGGTACTGAAACAACCAAGGTTTTCAGCAAAGTCCATTTTTTGAAATCATATTTTTCACTCCGCGTCATTATAGCAAACTCATTCCATATCAAACACGTACCGCCAGCTTTAGCTCGGCCCCTACTTGTTTTTTATGGGGGCATACAAAAATTTTGGTTCCCCTTGTTTTTTTTTCAACAATTAATATATATATTTTTCGACTTATGTTTTTAGATGTTCATGTTATACCGCAAGTTGAGCGACACTGCGCTTGGCCCCTGTGTTTCGCCTTATCGCCTTTGTATCATTCAGTTTCTTTTTTACCTAAACTTTCAAATATGATGAAATTCTTTCGCAAAAAATCGGTGTATTAACAGTTCGACCTTTTGATGGATTGTAAGCTTTTAGTTTTAACTTGTTTGTTTTCTGACTTTTTGCCATCTTATGACATATCGGTATCTAGCAGTAAAGTTTGTTTTCAACGGATCGGAAGTTGATCTAAAACACAACCTTAGGTAGACTTGCACTCAAAATTAACAGCGAACATTACCAGGAATTCAGTAAACGGATTATCGATTACTCTGCCAGGTAACTGGATACCCTGAGATTCAGAAAAGTTTATCCCAATGTGAAACCGAGCTACCTAAAATAACTTATTCTGGACAACGCGCCCCCAGATCCGGAACTCTTTGAGAATTTTCCAGAAATTGTGGAGAGACTGATTATGCCGGGAGTGACTCATTGGCACCATCAAAACTTCTACGCCTATTTTCCCACAGGTGAACTCTGGTTTTTAATTATGACAAATAAAGGTGGTTTATTGACATAAGCTACGTGGTTTGTTTATCTGAAAAGATTATAAATACCAAATTTTTTCGGAAACAGAAAAAACCAATGAAAAGCTTACGCAGCCAAGCATTAATCAAAAAGACTTCTTTCTCAAAAATTTTAAACCAAAATTAAAATCTCATAACTTCCTTACAATGATGGAACCAACCATGTCAGTTTTTTTTTGTATTTATGGAATCATAATTGTTTAACTGTAGTAATTCAGCTAATTTAATTTACTTGGATGTACACTTACAGTTGGATATAACTCCTTCTTTTTTGAGACATTCTGGGTGTCGTCTCAGAGACTCTGGGCTTCCAGTCCCGCCTGCACTGAGCTGAAAAGTGTGATCATGGACTGGCTGGCCAAGGAGATTGGACTACCAGAACATGTAAGCAGCCACTCCCTATCCATCTCTAGGTTTTATAGTTCATTCAACTCTCGTAACAAAAAAAAAACGATAATAGCTGATCAAAACTTAGCCTGGGCTCGCAAATTGCCTCTCAGATGATTCTAATCTAGAAAAAGTACATTTAATGTTTCCCATTATAGCGAATTATACAAAGACCTTGGTGTTACCAAAAAAAATCATATTTTATTGGGGCTGTTTCTAGTAATAGCTGCTGAAGTGGGGTCTTTTGTGGGAAAGAGACAACTTTGTACTTTGTTAAGTTCTGGTCTTCATCTGACTCAGGGGGAGGAGTGGTGATTCACTCTACTGCTAGTGAGGCCACAATGTTCGTCGCCAGAGACAGAGATATCAAAGATGGAAGTGACACACTTACTTATTTTTCTCTTAAGCGATTCAACTTTGATCCAGTATCACAAAAAAGGTCATAATTGAGCTCTCAAAAAACAGGTCTTCTCTCAACAAGCAGCGTGCCGAAGACGAGGGAGGAAGGAGGGGATTTGTTTTATTTCTGGTCGCCAATTTTTCAAAGAGTCTTTTCGTTGCAGTTTTATGAACTATTTTTTGTCGTCATTTCTCTAAACTTTCCAAAAGGAAGAGTGCATTTGTCAAGGATATACCACTGTTCTAGAACTTCCAAGAAGAGAAAACGCAAAAAAAACTAAAATAAAACTTTTTTCTTCAAAAACAGCGCTGTTCTGGCAATTTGGCATATCTAATAAAAACTACTATAACTGAAGCCTAAAAAAGAGAAAAAAAATTTCAAAGAATAAAAAACCCCCAAAAAAGTTTCCAAACCTTTCCAAGAACATGTTGAATTCAACTCACGTCAAAATTTAAAAATACAGTTTCGCTTAGAAACAATCCGACTAAAGAGTTCAAAAACTCCTCAATTCTCTGCAATAATTCAACATGACAATTTTTCGACACCATTGTTCATCGATGGCACTATTTTGCAAATTATTTCATGCTGCTCACTTGATAATCTCAAGTAAGAGTAATATTCATAAGAATATATATGAGTTACGGTTGACACAACGTACTGGCAACGCTCAAGAATACATCATCATAAAAAAAAGCGAAAAAAATTTTTACACGTTTTTTTTGTTAAGCTGGAAATGAGCGAAAAAGAAATTTTTATAACGTTTTGAAAAAATGAGTGTACGTTTTGGGCGATTAACTCATTTTTCGCTGAAAATCAGTCTCAAAAGGAAAACTGAAAGAACCCTGTAACCAGGGGCGGATCTAAGTTTTTCTTGATGGCTGAAGGGGGCTGATTTCTGTTTTTAGGCCGATCAAATTTATAATTGGGTATAAGACGCCAAAGAGGCCTTTAGAAAAATTTTAGGCTTGTTCGGCCGAAAATGGATGTCATAAGTTATTACTACAGGGGCGACCATTTGGTTGATGAGGGAGTCGAGTTCATCATCGAGGGGTGTCCGATCCCCCAATTCAACCCCCACCATCTGATTCCACTCCTGCTATAACCCCAAGGAACTTATTAATAAAGCAACATTACTTAAGATTTTAATAAAAAAGCTCCTACATAGGAAACATTTAACGTCGGGACAAAATGTCGCAGCTCATTTATATCAACTTTTTTTGTTCTATAGGAAAATGTGATTTCGATTTGATACTGATTCAGTTCGACTGTTCAGCTGTCTGGATCAAATACAAGGTCAAACTGGCTAGTGCATTGACCCGTTGCATTGGTTGACCCGTTGCATCTGCAACATGAGAAAAAATCATCGCAACCTGTTGATTTCGGTCACTGGTAAATACCAGTGGGTCTCATTTTTTTTACAATCAAAAACGTTTACTTCCTTTAACAGGACATGAATTTTTAAACAAAATTCAAAATGATCAGCTGTGTAACAACGTTCCGCTATTTTTTTTAAACATAAAAATAATTTTAATTTAAATGCAAATAGACCCTTCTAAACCACGTATGTTTAGGCCTACTGAAAGCCTGAAAGCCAGGGGCGGATCTAGGATTTGCTCGAGGGGGGAGCGGAATTCAGAGTTTTGGCGCCCCTGTTTTCTAAGACAAACAAATTGATCTTCCAAGCTCTCCCACAGCACTATAAAGACCCCATGTTTACCAAATTTTCTGCGTCGCAGGCAAATTTTTGAAAACACATGTCAAAAAGGCATCATAAGGCACTTTTTGGGAAATGTTGACCAAAAACTGCTTTTTTTCGGCGCCCGCTTCCCCCGCAGTATTAGTATACTTTGGCGAAGGCGCCTTGAAAAACTTTAGGGTCCGTCAGGCAAAAATGGATATCTCAAATAAGTACAAAGGGTGGGGGACCCTTTGGGTCCGCATTTGGTCAAATCTTCCTCCCTAAATCTATTTCTGCTGATAGCTCCTCTTGCGATTTGCAGGAACCACAGTTATCGTACTTCTGAATCCAACTTGATTCTTTGATAATCTTCAAAATTTTACTATTAGTTCAAAATCAGCTACAGTAAGGCCGCATCATTTGTTGATTTAAGCATGACCACTACTAGCTTAATTTATCTAAATTGAAAATTCTTTTATTTAAAAGTGCCATTTACTGAAACTTTCCGTTTTTAAAAAACAATGTTTTCTTAAATTAATTTGACTCAGAGAAAAAGTAACAATGAATTTATACTCGCGCTGTCATCCCCAATTTCAAGCCGCCTTGACGCGACCTTTTTTTTCTCGACAAGAGAAGTTTTTATATTTAGGCGGAAGATTCTGCTCTCTTAAACTCTGGATAACTTTTCGAACATTCGGAGTCAACGCCTTTCAGAAACACATCCGGACTTCGATCCAGATGGCAGACTACTTCGCCAACTTAGTGACCAGCAACGACAACTTTGAGCTATTTCGACCATAGTCTATGGGACTGGTTTGCTTCCGGGCTAAAGTGAGCAACGACCAGAACAAAGAACTGCTAGCCAGATTGAAGGAACTAGAGAGATCCATTGGACGCCATGGGAGATTGATGAAGCTTATTTTCTGCGACTCGCAATTTGTAGCATCCAGACTACGTAAAAAGATCTAGACAACGCATTCGAGCTCATCTTGAAGCTTTTCAAAGACTTATGAGAGACTCCAGACAAATAAGAAAATGGATAGCATGTTTTAAATGAGCATGCGATATAGCATGCTGGGTATTAAAAAAATATTATAATCACTATTAATAAAAAAAACAAGCCCTCGTGGATCTGTAGCGTAGAGTTAGGGAGGGAGACCCGAAAAACAATAAGATATTCAAGCCTGGGAAGGGTCGGATGTTTTTAATTAACTTTTTCGTATACTAGTTAAATTGCATCCGCTGTAAAAATTGAGGCATGTTAGTTCCAAATGACTGGTACTGCTAATTCGTTATAATTGGCCTGCGTCACTTAGCAGTTATATAAATTCATATTTGGCGTGCATCTCTTAAGAAATTTTGTAGACTGAAAGTGTTATCCATTCAGTTTTGCCCAGAAGCGTTATCGGTCATATTTTTGCTTGTTTATGCGAAGTGCAGCTTCACATCTGTCTTAAAAAAACCATAGACTACAAGAAACAACAATTTTTTTGTTGTCGCTGGTCAATGTTTGTCTAGCTAGATATACATCATTCGAAATAACAAACTTTTATAAAAAGAAATAATTTTCAGTTGAAATTAACGAAATTAGGTTTTGCGGAGATACCCATGTGTCAAGCCATCCCAAGTCCAACAGTCTTTGATATATTTTAAAAATCTTGAAGAATTCTGGTTAAATCTAGAAAAAAATCTTGACTGTTTTGGTCAGGTCTTGCCAAAGAATCTTGGAAGACATCAAAGATCCTTCAAGAAATATCGAAAAATCTTGAAGAGAAAAACAAATATTGCAAACTGTTTTGACATTTCGAAAAGAAGATGGGCGATTTTTTTTCAATATATTTTTGGGCTTTTTTATTGAGGAAAAATCTAATATCTTATGGAAAAACAATGAACCATTCTCCAGAACTCTCACTTTTAAAAAGTAGGCTAAATATGATTTCTACAAAATCAAATGAAACTATAAAAAATTCAAAAGTTTTTTCGCCCTTCTTTTGTCGCCCTAAGACATCCAAATTGATTTTCCAAGCCCGCCCAATGCACTATAGAGGCCCCATGTTAACCAAACTTTCTGCGTGGCAGGCGAATTTTTGAAAACACAGGCCGAAAAAGGCATTATTGGGCACTTTTTGGAAAATATTTACCAAAAAAATGGCGGTTTTTTGGCGCGCGCATCCTCCGCAAATATAGTATATTTTTGCGAAGGCGCCTTGAAGAAAGTTTAGGGTCAGTTCGCCAAAATTGGGTACCTCAAAACAGTACAAAGTTGGTGACTGTTTGGGTCCTCAATTGGTCAAACCTTCATCACTAAGTCCGTTCCTGCTGATAGCTCATCTTGCGATTTGCAGGAACCACAGTTATCGTACTTCTGAATCCAACTTGCATCTTAGATAATCTGCAAAATTTTACTATTAGTTCAAAATCAGCTATAGTAAGGCCGCATCAATTGTTGATTTAAGCATGACCACTAGTAGCTTAATTTTTTTCATCCTTGTTTTCTAAGACATCCAAATTGATTTTCCAAGCTCTCCCAATGCACTAAAAAGACCCCATGTCAACCAAACTTTCTGCGTCGCAGGCAAATTTTTGAAAACACAGGCCAAAAAGGCAATATTAGGCACTTTTTTGAAAATGTTCACCAAAAATTGCCCTTTTTTTTGGCACGCGCTTCCCCCGCAGTATAAGTATATTTTGGCGAAGGCGCCTTGAAAAGCTTTAGAGTCCGTCAGCCAAAGATGGATATCTCAAATAAGTACAAAGGGTGGGGGACCCTTTGGGTCCGCATTTGGTCAAATCTTCCTCCCTAAATCTATTTCTGCTGATAGCTCCTCTTGCGATTTGCAGGAACCACAGTTATCGTACTTCTGAATCCAACTTGCTTCTTTGATAATCTTCAAAATTTTACTATTAGTTCAAAATCAGCTACAGTAAGGCCGCATCAGTTGTTGATATAAGCATGACCACTAGTAGATAAATTTACTTAAATTGAAAATTCTTTTAATTAAAAGCTCTATTTACTGAAACTTTCCATTTTTTAATAGCAATGCTCTCTGAAATAGTTTTGATTCAGAGGAAAAGCAATAAAAAACTTTATACTCTCGCTATCATCCCAAATTTTCAGCCGCTTTGACGCGACCATTTTTTTCCTCGACAAGAGAACTTTTTATATTTAGGCCGAAGATTCCGCTCCCTTAATTTCTGGATCACTTTTCGAAGATTCGGAGTCAACGCCTTTCATAAACACATACGGACTTCGATCCAGATGGCAGACTACTTCGCCAACTTAGTGACCAGCAACGACAACTTTGAGCTATTTCGACCACATTAATGGGATTGGATAGTTTTCGGGCAAAAATGGTCAATTACCAGAACGACGAACTGCTAGCAAGATTAAATGGAACTAGAGAGATCCTATTAACGACATCGAGGATTAAAGACATTTATACGACTGACAATTTGTATCACCCCGACTACGCATAAAGATCTAGACATGCATTCGAGCTCATCTTGAAGCATTTCAAAGAGCTATGAGATATTCAAGGCTAATTAGAAAACGAATACTTTGAATTATTATTAGCATGCGATATAAGTTTAATACTTCTTTTATTGTATTACCCATTCATTTGTTGGGAATTATAGAGTAAGCATAGTATGAAATCTCTTTTTTTTTCACCTAAGTCGGGAATATAAGCGTTCACTTTAAAAAGGTTGAAGTTGATCAATAACAAGATGATATGTACAGCCAATTTTAACAATTTTAAGGATATTAAAACTTTTGTATTACATTTAAAATTCAAGCCATCATGGATCTGTAGCGTAGAGTTAGGGAGGGAGACCCGAAACACAATAAGATATTCGAGCCTGGACAGGGTCGGATGTTTTTAATTAACTTTTTCGTATACTATTTAAATTGCATCCGCTGTAAAAATTGAGGCATGTTAGTTCAAAATGACTGGTACTGCTAATGCGTTATAATTGGCCTGCGTCAATTAGCAGTTATATAAACTCATAATTGGCGCGCATCTCTTAAAGAATTTTGTAGACTGAAAGTGTTATCCATTCAGTTTTTCCCAGAAGCGTTATCGGTCATATTTTTGCTTGTTTATGCGAAGTGCAACTTCACCTCTGTCCTAAAAAACCATAGAGTACAAAAAACAACAATTTTTTTGTTGTAGCTGGCCAATGTTTATCTAGCTAGATATACATCATTCGAAATAACAACTTTTTATAAAAAGAAATAATTTTCAGTTGAAGTTAATGAAGTTAGGTTTCGCGGAGATACCCATTTGTCAAGCCATCCCAAGTCCAACAGTCTTTGATATATTTTAATTATCTTGAAGAATCCTGGCTAAACCTAGAAGAAAATCTTGGCTGCTTTGGCAAAATTTTGCCAAAGAATCTTGGAAGACATCAAAGATCCTTCAAGAAATATCAAAAAATCTTGAAGAGAAAAACAAAGATAGCAAACTATTTTGACAATTTGAAAAGAAGATGGGCGATTTTTTTTTTTTTTATAATTTTGGGCCCTTTTTTTAGGATAAATCTAATATTTCATGAAAAAAAAAATAATTCTTCAGAACTCTCACTTTTTAAAAATTAGGCTAATTAAGATTATAAGAAAGTCAAATGAAACTATAAAACAAAACTGCACAATGGAATTATAAACAATCGAGGAAACTTTGAGCACAACTATTAACCATCGCAATAAAAACCAGAGAAGAAAAATCAAAAAAAAACTAATGAATAAAAGTCATAAGGCAATTTTAGGCAAACAGATAAAGTAATTTACCTCGCTAAAATAAGCGCCCACGAAAAAAAGGAACTAGCAATCAGTTTTTGGTCTGAAAAAATTTCAAAAAATATCAAAAATTCCCGAACAAGGATTTCAAAATTTTACTCAGAGAAAAAACCGTAAAAATACATAGATGGCCAGTTAAGTGGATTTTTGGGACAATCAACGAAAATGTTATAGGAAACAACTAAAGATTTGGAATGAAAACGACCTTCCTTTCAGAATGGACTCCTCGTTTTGCAAGTTTTATAAGATTGACAGTCTGCTTTAGAGTGTTCATGTGGGTATCAAAACCAAATAGGGAATTTCTCCTAAGCAGATTGAGTTTTACCGTTTACGCTTTACGCCTTGGCGTTTTCGTCACTAGCCAAGGTTTTTCTTGCAAGATAAACATTGAATACACAAGCAAAGCTTGTGTGATAGTATGAAATCTCTTTTTTTCCCACCAAAGTTGCGAATATTAGCGTTCACTTTAAAAAAGGTTGAAGTTGATCAATAACAAGATGATATGTACAGCCAGTTTTAACAATTTTAAGGATACTAAAACTTTTGTATTACAAATAAAATTCAAGCCATCATGGTTCTGTAGCGTAGAGATAGGGAGGGAGACCCGAAACACAATAAGATATTCGAGCCTGGACAGGGTCGGATGTTTTTAATTAACTTTTTCGTATACTAGTTAAATTGCATCCGCTGTAAAAATTGAAGCATTCTTGTTCAAAATGACTGGTACTGCTAATGCGTTATAATTAGCCTGCGTCACTTAGCAGTTATATAGATTCATATTTGGCGTGCATCCCATAAGAAATTTTGTAGACTGAAAGTGTTATCCATTCAGTTTTTCCCAGAAGCGTTATCGGTCATATTTTTGCTTGTTTATGCGAAGTGCAACTTCACCTCTGTCTTAAAAAAAACCATAGAGTACAAAAAACAACAATTTTTTTGGAAGTCAACACATAGATTTCGTGCAGAGGCCGAAATAGTAATCAATCTTGAAGCAAGCATCTATCAG